CCATGATTGTTATTGACTATCTCCTGAATAGAGGCCTATCAGATGTTGTTTCTTTATCGTTACTATAATTATTATTTACGTCAGCTTAAATCTGATATTAAACGTAAAAGAATATTGTGCTCGAATTTCCTAATTCTATTTTTTGCCTCGTTTAGTACTTTTCTCTTTCTCTATCTCTGAAAAACTAACAAGCTTTTTTTTGCTAATTACTCATTCATGTCAATACAATGCAATTGGAATTGATTAACGTTAGCTTGAGTAGATTTTTTGGAATGCATTTTTATGATAGTTGTCAACAAAATATATAACATCTATTATGGAAAACAAATTGCATATGAATATTTTCCATACATTGTCTGATAGTTCTAAAAAAGAAAAATAGTCAAAACATATAAATATCAAATATTTTTAATCAAATAATGTAATACATATATTTGTTTGATAAACTACCCTAATAATTTAAGGAATAAAAAGAAAAACAAAGTCTATAATTAATGATTATATTATCAAATTCAATACCTGAAAAGAGTTCGAATCCATCAATGATTTCATCAGGCACAATTTTTTTTTTCTACCATTGATCATATTCATATTTTTTCCAGCTTTTTTTTCTTCTTTAACCCTTCTGTTTCCTGTCTTACGTACTCTTAATAAGGAAAGGAACAATAACAGAAAAAAACTGCGAATGAACAAAAAGAGAGAAAAAAAAAAGCCTAAGCCAGGAAATAAACATCTGTATATATTTGAGTGAATAAAAAAAAATGTCGTCTTGTTTATTCCATTAGATTTCGTGATATTTACATGCACAATGAGTACTATATCGAGAGAGAAAAAAAGAAATGAGAAATTAATATAGAGAATAAGAAGTGTTCAGTTTGTAGCTTTTCAACATCAAGATCTGATTATTGTTCGAAGCAGCATCTCCTATCGAGATAATAAAGTATTCAATCCGAAAGCAAAACTGAAAGCATGGTTAACAATGCTATTGCAAAACATACATTCACGTCTATGATTCTCTTCCACCGGGGGGAAATAAAATAAAATGTGGTCGGTTTAATAAGGCGAACGATTCGATAGATGATTAGTATGCATGAAATACACAAGGCATTCTATAACAGCATAAAAATAGACTATAATAATAAAGACGCATTCTATTCTATATCTCTCATTTTTGAATAAACTTTCTCATGTAAATAATTTTGATCAGTTTTGAATAAGAAATATATATGACTTTGACTTAGTACATCAAATATGGATAGTAAAAACGAGCAAAGAAACGAACTGAGCGAATACAATATAATTAATGTCAATCAATAGATAAAATGCAAAAATAGATGAACAAAACAAAAACAAAAGAAAGATTTTTATTTAATTAATAATTTTTGTATCTCATTTATTCATACAGGATATTATTTTAGATATGTAAAAACTATATTTTATTTTTTTTTTGGTTTTCACTAATTGGTATAGATCAAATACAAATCTATCTCTTTCGATCATAACATTAATATTTGCCGAAGATTAAACTGACTGTTGTTCATAATGTGTTCCATAGAGATGATTTCATATAGAATAATTTATACATCATTAGATAGATCTAAATACATCCGTCATTCATTAGAATATTCAATAGAAATTTTCTTCATGATTAATAAAGAAGATTCTTATAGGAAAAATTCTATTTAATAATAATAGCTTGTTAAAGAATAGAAAAAAGTCTATAATAATAATAATAAATACGTTAGTTACCGGATATTGCCAAGGGAAACTACAGAAGAAAAAAGATTAATCAAGTCAAGGAAATTCATAACTTGGAATTTTCTTAGTTGCATAGAAAACAATCAGGATAGAAAAAAAACGTTTTGTTGCTGCGAAAGTCTTTCCTTCCATGTTGCCTTTCCTTTACTAGTCTTTAAGTGTGAAGGAAAGTAAAGAAGCTTAACAATTGTATTTGAGTTTTTAAATGATAAAAAGCTGATGTTTCATTGTATGATTTTCTTTATAGCGATATCGACGAAAATAATGTGTTAGAGTTAATGAATCAGACTATTTTTATTTTGATGAATTCGTGTTTTCTAAAATTCTATTAGAATTTATATTCAGATAACATATGATACAAATTGTATTTGTACAATAGCCTTTCCATTGTCGTATATTATTTGAATGAGAATATGAACTATAAAGTTTAATATTTCATTTAAAGATATGATTGTCAAAATCAAGAATATAAACGAGATATTGTTTTAGAAATGAGAAAGTTTTGAATAATTCAACACAGAGACTGTCATAAGCTTGTAATAGTCAATATGATTCTTATCTTTCAAGACTAGCTTTGCATTGATTTTTACAATCTCATGATGATTTCTATTCTGACATTGTAGTATGATGCTTCTTCTATTCATCATTCATGATAGAAGTAGTTCTTGTCTGAATGACTGATGACTTTTTTTATATAAATTCTCTACTTCATTACATTTCTTAACGACTTTTCTATTGATTTATTTGTAATGGTTTCATAAGTCGACTAGAGTAGAGTATTCAGTATGAGGGTATTCTAGTATTTGGTTCTTTTGAATTTGATAGTAGATCAATGTAGCTTTCTGTTTTCAATTTGTGCGAACAATCCTTCTAGGTGTTATGAATAATTTGTTTGATAAATCCTCGGCTTTTTTTTTGCTTGTGTTTTTTGTGTTAGAAAAAAAACATGAATCAGTTCTCTTGTTTCTATGTATTTGTTATGTTAAATGAATATAACAGGTCAAATCAGATGAAAGAAGCTAAGAAATAGGAATGAAAGATTTTGATGGATAATATGTAGTATGTAGTTCTTGAAGGTTTATATGTAGTGAAGGAATTTTATTCGGCTGGAAGAAATCATTTACCATAGTACTGAATTTTAGCTTTGACAACATTATTTGTTACTAATGATTTCATTAGATTATAGATCAAAACATCATTCTAAGACATTCATCTAAGAAATCTTATGTGAAAATTCTTATATAAAAATTAAGTTTTAAATATAGACCATGATAAAAGAAAGCAAAAGATTAAAATCTATGAGGCGAAATGAATAGATGAGAATACTAAAAATAAAGATATTATTTTTATCACCAAAAAATAATCAATGATCGTCTCGTTTCATCATCTTCAACTGTTTGTCTATGATTTTATTTTCCGAAACGTTTCTTTACTCGTTAATGTTTCTCTTTTCTTATATTTTAGACTCGTTTGTCATTTACCGATCGTTCGTAAGACATCAATCATACTAGTAATCTTTTATTACCGTTTCTATATATATACTACTACCCTTCAAACATTATTTTATTCCTGTGTCAAACTATGTGTCACAATAATTCATAGAAAATAATAAAATATTAATTTTTCTTGTCTGATTTCAAGGTGATTAATAAGATAGACGAGAATAGTTGAAACAATTTCTAGAATTCATCAATTTTCACTATAAAACGGACGATTATATTTATCAAAAATGAATAATTTTCATAATAATTGATTTTATCATTGAAATGAGTACATGTGTTAAAATATCGAGAAAAAAACAATATCTTGAAAGTGTCAACATCCTCTTAGGAGTTATACATGTAACATGACATTCAACGAGTTTTTTTTTCTTTCATGATTTTGAGTAGAAAAGAAAAATTCTTTTTATTCACTACAGCTTTAAGATATTGTTAATAATTCGAAGAAGTTCAACAGAGTTTTAATACTTCAAATCTGTCTGAATACCTTTAGCATTTGTTTTGTATCTCTTTGCTCTAATAAACCTCAAGCAATAGGATTGAAGTCATATCCTATATTTATCTGTTTTAACAAATGCGATTCATAAATTATAACATAGAAAACTATTATTTATTCATGTTGTTTGAATTATGTTATTTATGGCTGGACAATATTCTCCATAACAAGAAAATCGCCTCCCATAAAAAGTCAAGAAGAAATATTCTCTTAAAAAAAAACAAAGAACAGTAGCCGTTGCTTAAATCCATTTAAGATAGAAGAAATGAAATATTAAAAAAAAAAGAAACCCTTTCTATTATTTCGACCTTCACAAACAAAAGTCAAAATGATTTAACCAGATAACAATCATATTAAGGAGAAGCTACAAGAGAAATGAATTTTTTTTTGTTCAAAGGAAATTTAATAGAATTAACTTAAGCACAAACAAAGAAATTATTCAGCCAGACAGTCATAAATGACTATCAAGATATATGTTTATAGTCTTTCATTCTATTTGTCCTTAAGATGTAGGGTTTCATGTAGGATGAAGCATTTTTTTATTAACAGGAATAATTTTCTCATCAACTGATTCGATTGTCTACTGCTGATTTTAATTGCAATTAATTTTAATAAAGCATAAAAATTAAAACGATTCTTTAATGTTTCAATGTAAACTTTGACAAGTCAAACATAACAAATAAGACAAAAGAATTAATCAAGATCTTTCTAAGTTCTTGATTAAGAAGAAAAAAAAGATTATATTTAATTGATTCTTTTAAATACTTTTGATGAAGGAACAATTCATTTTTTATGTTAATTGTGTGATACCTATAATCATTAAATATGGATGGAAAGTTGTTATATTTCCATTATTAATATAAAAGCAGAAGAAAAATTCTTCAATGTTTTAATTTTATTTCGTTATTAGAAAACTGAAAAGATCAACAAATGTCTAAAAAGTTCTTTTTTTTTTCGATTAAAAATACATTGATATTGTAAGAAAACTATCGATCTTAAGTGTATTCATTATTATAGTTAATGCTATCAACTAATTGACTTTTCTCTTTCTAGTCATTTCGATTTGAACAGCTTTAAATATAAAATTTTACCTTCCGTTCACTTATCTAAATTATTTCTTTTCTTTTTTTTTAATTTCAATTGACTCCTACTATTCTACTTTTATAATCAATTATCTTTTGAATAACATTCATTGATGTAGAGATATGTTCTTGACATTAACATTCGTACTTGTTTATCTTTTATTGATGTCTATCATATCAATATATTCTTTACCAGTTGCTAATATTGTTAATGCAATTTATTTAACGGGTAGTTCTTTTACAAAAATAAATTTAACAACATCAAATGCATGTATGTGTTCTTGTATTCTTCATCCACATTGTCTTTCGATTAGTGTTATGAAAATATCAAATAATACATATTATTGTCAACTATTTGCAACATATCCAATAAAAAGTTCTCAATTATCATCATCATTAACATCAAATGTAACTATTTATACTGATCGAACACTTAAATCAGTTTATATTGATAATGGAACATATTTATCAAATCCTACAAATCTATTTTTCAATACAAAAAATCCATGGATACCTGTTTTTAAATTATATACGGGAAATAATCAATCATTTCTATGGTTAAATTCAAGTAATTTAACTACATTAACAAATATTCCAAATATTTCAATTAATCAAACAATGTTTCATTGGTTTAATATTTTAATTTCTCAATGGAATCAAATGTTATACATACCAGATCAAATAGCTATTGCATTTATTGTTAATCATACAATTATTTTTGATTTTCTTATCTTTAATGCTTCACAAACAACTATATTAAATTGGTTTTCAACAAAAAGTCTTCTTTCAAATCAATATTGGAATATATCACAATATCGAAATATACCAATCAGTTCAATACAAGTCAAATCAATTTATTCAGATAATGATTGTATAAGATCATTTAACTATAATTTTAAATTTTCAACAAGTGGGTGTAATCAAGATTTTTACGGATTCTTTTTTGTTTATGGTGGTTATAAAGATTTATGTATTGCCGCCAATCAAAATATGTCACAAGTATCTATCCCATCTATTTATTTTAGTCCAACAATAAATTATACTAATGGTAGTCTTTATAATTTTAAGATTGCTGATGGTCTGATGGGTTTCGTTCGATGAACATAACAGAATTGAACGTCATAATATATCATTTGCTTTTTCTTGAAATAAACTATAGACGATGATGTGTTTGATTCTATGAATTTTTTTAAAGATTCGGAAAAAAGAAAACTGTTCTTTATCAAATGAATAAGTTTGTTGAATCTATTTTTTTCTTTGACATAGATATTATTGTGTAATGTCACTTGGCAAATTCTATGACCTCTTTTAACTGAGAAACAAAATTACATGTTTTTGTAATAATTTTGTTGTTTATATGCATGATTGGAAACCAGGACAATTTTGACAAGTTTTATTTGAATAGATTAATCGAAGACAAATTTATAGGTAATAGAGTACAATACAATTACAAAATATCAATTTTGTCATTTTAAGAACAGATCAAGGTTTCATCTTATTTATTGAACGGGAAAGATGTAATTTTCAAAGTAATAGAAATTATAATAATTGACACAAACGTCAATTATCATTAATTGCTTGTTTTCTTTTCGAATCAACTCTTCAAATAAAACAACTATAGAAGTTCTTTAGAATTGCAAAAAAAAACAAAAGAACCGAGTTCTTTTTATGTTTAAGGAAAACTATGAATATAAAAACTAACGGTCGCTATTATATTGGTTCTCTTGATGCATCGTTTGTTATTCTCGAACATGACTTATTTAGAAATTTTATAATTGCTTAATAGCTTTGCTAGAATTAAAAAAAAAACTATTTTAAATGATAAATAGAAGCACTTAAAATATTCCTGTAAGTTCAAAATGACTTTCAAATAATGTATGAACTCTATCGAATTGAAAATTAATATTTTTTTTTTCTTTTTATAGATGTGAATTTTCCTGAAGAGTTGAAGTCGATTTCAAAAAAATTGCTCGAATGTGACATTATAATAATACCGATGCCATACTTAAAAAATGTAGTCGGTTAAAATTTGAAAACAGTCTTTGCGAACATTTGTCAATTTTCAACAGTAGAAAGAAGAAAACATAGGAATACTGTTACATCTAATATTTGATGAAGCTTAATAATTCATTAGAGCAGAAAAAGAATCGGTTGAATTCCTATGACATTAGAAAAATTGTTCTTCAAAAATAAACAACGCTAAGATATAATTTTTTTGCACGTGTAAAAAATTCGAGCAGAGTATGATAGACTTGTGTCTTACTAAATTCCGTCGAATTGTATATGTAATATATACTTATTCTCTCTTTCTACTGTTGATCACTAAGAGATTTCATGTTCGATTTATTTAATTTTGAACGAAATGTCTTTGATTCTAGTATCACCGATACTAACTCGTTATCTGCATATCAAAGCAAATCGCATGTATTTTTGCACTAATCAAAGCGAAATTTTAGATATTTCAAAATGAAGAAGTGCGTGAAATACTGGAATCTAAAAAAGTACCATACAAAAATCTAGGTCAAGATTTGAAAAATATGTTAAACATTTATAATAGCATATGCAGATAAGATTATTTTGCACACGAAATTAAAAAAATCCATCTCAAGAAAATTACTCCTACATAGTATCACACTACAAAAAAAAAATATTTTCTTACATTAAAATTTTATCATTTCAACAATATTTTATTTTTCTCAAATTGTTCATTCTGAGAAAGACATCGTAAAGAAAAAATTGTTTTGTCGTCATATAAAACAAAACTAACAATACTTCTCATGTATTTTTCTATGAATAACTAGTTAAATTCATATAATATTTCTTCTGAAATAAAAATTTGATATTTTTCTCTTCATGAATATTCTCTCTTTTCTTTGAACTAAAGCGACATCTAGTATTTTAAATCATATCATTGATTGATATCTCCAGCTGTTTTACTTGTTTATTGTTTTTTTGTTTCATTTAGAATCTTTTTTTTTTTTAAATATAGAATTCAATTATATAAATCTTTTCTATGTCATATTTATTATTTTGCATATAGAAATTGATTCATAAATATTTAATTAGTTAATTAAAAATTTACGAAAAATCTAATAATTTATTTCTTATAGGTTAATATGACATCAACATTTAATAATCTTCCACGTTTAGGTGAAACAAAAGCAAAACCCAAAATCGGTGAAATTCGTTTAACAGCTGATGGAACACGACGTAAACTATTCACTGGTAAAGCTTGGCAATTCTTATGTAGTGGTGATCCGAATTGTCGAATTCAAGCTAAATCAACATGTCGAAATCATAGAAGTTCTCTAACTAATGATACATCATTAAATGAATTATCACCAATTCAAATAAAACGACCAAAACTTGGGAATACACAAATATTACCTAATGGAAATCGACGTATATGGCGAGGTGAACGATGGCAAAAATTATGTCGTGCAGATAATTGTTTAGTACAAGCAAAAGATTTTTGTAAATCACATCAAAATCAACGAATGTCATTACCAAATACAAGTATAAAGAAAACAAAAATTCATTTTAAATTTCAAAAACAAAATCTTTTTTTAGATGAAAAGTCTCGATTTACAAATCGAACACGATCTTATTCACTTACTAGTCAAAAAAGTATGCATTCAATTTAAATTTTATAATTATATAAAAATTTTTCATTCAGAAGTAGAAGAAGAAGAAGAACATCAACATATTGAATCAAGTGATGATTTATCTTCTTCAATAAAAGATCATAATTCACTTCAATTACCAAATAATAAACGTCGTCGTGTTGATGATAATATATTTGAAGCAATTGCCGTATCACCATTAAAAAAACATGAATTACATACACGTAATGGACGTCGAGTACGATGTAATGGGTTAATATGGAAACACTTATGTGCTGATAAAAAAAATACTGTTTTGACACGTAATTATCGAGGTCGAAGTATGTCTAGTAAAAGATCAGATGAAAATAAGTCAAATCATATTCAATTATCATCGTCAGATACTATTGATTCATCAATAGACAATAATTCGGTGACTCAAATAAAAAATAGTAAAAAAAGCAAAACTACAGGTGATATTAATAATGAAGAACATATTGTTCCGAAAAGAAAATCGAATGGACGACGTCGAAAAGGTAAATATTAAATTCACTTTTCTTTTTGTCTCCTTCAATTATTAAGATATAAATTTGAGTAATATACAGTTGTCTACTAAAGTATCAGTTGGTAACGCAATTAACATGTACAATAGAACAGAAAAAAAAAGCTTGAGGTTTCTGTTTATATGGTGTAATATGACAATGGCAAATATTCGAAACGATGTACTACCTTGAATAGAACCTACTGAACTTAATAATAATGAGCGTAATAAAAAAAAAGGTTATATATTAAGTCACGCATGATTGATTATATTATACTTGACAAATAGGGTTTTCGTATAGAATTGTTGGAATTTTATAATCATTTCTTGTTTCACGCCGCACTGCAATTGAAAGAAGGAAATCTAAGAGATTTTAACGATTCTAATAAAGAGAATATCTCTGAATTTAATTTGTTTTTTTAAAGATGTCGACAATGAGAAATTTAAGCAAAATATTTTTCTTTTGAGACATTTTAAAATGATATATTTGCATTGGAACTTAGGAAAATCTGAAAAGTCTATAAAAATTGAAATACACCAAAAGCATGAAGTTTTGTTTGATTGTTTAGAAATTTCAATTTTTTTTTATAGAATAGTAAAAAAGGCATAAATACGAATTTATATTCAAAGATTTTGCCTATGAGAAATTCATTTTCAGATGAAGTGAATATCATATTCAGAATTTGTACCAAATAGTATATTTAATATTAATAATCGTCAAGTTTTGACCTTGGGAGACGCTTCAAGTGAGCGTATTTGAAAATAACAAGAAAGTTAAATATCCAATATGCTATTTGATGTAGATTCTGAATATGATATTTGTTTCATTTGCAACTGAAGTTTTCATTGTCAAAATCTTTGAATACAAACTCGTATTTATGGCAACGTTGGTGAAAAATGTCGAATAATCTGAAAGATGTTAGTAACAAAATTGTTGTTTGTGTTCTTAAGAGTATGCATTTATGTGCTTTACCTACTTACTCATACCTTTCTCAAGAAGGAAATCAATGCAAAACTACTACTATTAGATTTATCATAAGGAAAAGAGTTATCATTTCAATTTTTGAAAAGCATCCATTCCTAACCATATTAGCAGTAAATAAAAAAAAAATATTCGGATAAATATTGAGACTGCAGAGATTCGACTGCTTGTATCATATATCCATTTTTATAGACTTTTGATTTTCTTTCCCATTGTAAAAAGTATTGTTTGGATATGTCCAAGAAAACATTTTTAAAGGTATCTCGATAAGTTTTATCCAGCTGGGACAAAAAATTTTTTTCTCCAATTTTGTATTGTTGCCGTCTTACAGAGAACAATCGACATATAGACTGTCAAATAAAAAGTATTTTGTCACAGAAAAAGAAAAAAACAGTAATAAATATCAGCATGATTTCTTTTATTTTATTTTTTTCTCTAGGTTCGAATAAATCAATCACTTTATATCTTGAAACAAATTCATCTAGTTCATCTGTAATTGATCTTTATTTCATTTTTATGGTTTATTACAACAATGTTTTCTTTTCTTATTTAGGTTTCTGATATTCCTACAAAAGAAAAATCAATTGAAACACCTATTCTAAACGAATCTGATTTAACATTATCATTAAAATCTAATCGACTTGATATAAATGATCAATCTGTTGAAATTCCTATTCGTTCATCATCACCATTTCTTTATGATACATCGACATCTGCAATTATTGAACAATTTGGAACAATTATCAAAAAAGAAATGGTAATAATAAGACCTTAGTTTTTCTTTTTTATAAATTATTTTATTAAATAGAAAATGTGTTTTTTTGTTCTTCTTTTCATAGGAAGAAGAATCATTAATTTATATTCCACCTATACATACAAATGAAATTGAATCTCCATGTGAAACATTACAAGATTTCTTACGTGTGGAAGAATTAAAAAAAAAAGAATTTAAACTTGATTGTCAACGTATTAGTTACCGTTTAGCAAAAATTCAAGATTGTATTGGTAGTATTTCATCAATGACTAGTTGAAAAAAATATCAATGAATGATAATCTTCTATTATCTCTCATATCAATTTGTAAATCTCCAATTGCAAAAAATAAAAAAACCACAAATGGCTCAAATCAGATAATTAAAAAAAAGAATTCAATTGTTTTCTTTTTTTTTTGTTTTTGTTTCGAGAAAAAGAAGTGATAATGATTGTAAGTTTGTATTGTTTATTCATACACGTTGTTGAACATATACTTGTGCTTTTGTTGTTAATTAAAATCATTTGAAAAAAAAAAAAAAAAACTTTATTTGATTTGTTTCTTGTCATCTTATTTAAGATATTAAATTGTCATGTCAACAAAACAAAACAATATAAATGATAAAGATTTATTAATAACATATATTAAATGTGAAAATAATACAGATGATGATTTTGTATTTGATAAATCAACAGAATTAAATGATAAGAAAGATTATTATTCAAATCTATTATCAGCATGTACAATTGTAACACCATCACTAGCATCAACTTATAAAGGAAAAATTGAAGTTACAAGTAAAGGACGTCGAAAAATTTTTGATGGTGTTCGATGGCAAATATTATGTCGAAGACCAGGTTTGATTATTATGCTTTTTGCTAAACAGAATTACAGCTCATTGTTAGACTATGAGAATAGATAATCAATGAAAGGCTTTAGAAAAATTCAATCATTACCATTTGTCGATTTTCATCAGGAATATTAATATAACAGATTTTACATAAATACAAAGCTTATTGTTAATGCAACGAATACATATGATTTATACTTTTGTTTATGAAATTCTCAGATACAGTATAACCTCTCTATAGTTGATATTCATCGGACGTTTCAAAAGTGTCTACTTTGGAAGATTTTACTGTATTTCTGTAATTCAATAGAGTATAGATATTGTTGTTATCAGTCGGCTGACTAGCTGGAAAGTTTAGGTTGGATTTACGACAAGGAAATTTTTTCACACTAAGGAGGAAATAGCTTTGGTATTATATACTTTCATATAGGCAATTAGCTTGGTTCATTAGGTTAACAAGTATAGATTATTTATTACAAGTATTCTTTGCGAGAAGATCTATTCTCACGAAATCTAAAGCAGCGGTTCCGATTCGGAAAAAACGATTCTTAAAAATTGTAGTTTGGAAGCAATGATTTATTGAAAGTGTATCAAATAACTAATGATAGTGTTTTTAGATATATCTATCTTTCATTTTTCGAACTTTTTCATAATTATTATTATATTGAAAAATTAATTTCTTCAAAAGATAAAAGAAAAAGAGAAAGATTATGGCCAGGGTGTAGTTTTTGACAGTACCTTCCTTCACTCCCATATCTACACATTAAATGGCTCTAGTTATCAGTAAAAAGTTTCCAGTTCTGATTTCAATTTTTTGGAAATTGCAGGGCTCTAAATCTACAACATCATTATTTCCTAATATAGTGGAAAACGAGTTGAAATTCTGACTTTCGTAAAAATTTCTTTTTCTATTTTTGTGAAACATGTTTTTTCTTATGTAACTCGACAACTTCAGACAACAATGACAAAAATAGAAAGATAAATTCTGCTGAAATTTTGAATTATTGACACACTACATACACTGAAAATAGTTTCAGATTTGATTATCTCAATCTGTGTGCGTCGAAAGTAATTTCTATTTTAAGTTTCACAGTTCATCGGTGAGAATTCTGATTTTATTAAAAAATATTCAATATTCTTGAGTTATAATACACACTTCGATTGACAGTAATAATTGATCTTTCTTTATCGAACAGATAGAGCGTATTTTTATTTTGATGAAAAATGAAGATTTCAAAACCAAATTTAGTTCTCATTTCGAAATAAATATTTCTTAATTTTATTACAAAAATAAGAAAAAAAAGAAATCTTTTGTCTTCTTTTAAGAGTGTCGAAAACAAACAAATAAAAAATCTCTTTGTATAACACATTACAAAGAAGAATATGAATCTAATACTCAATTATCATTAACACCATCGTCATCATGGTCAAATAATCTTTCATCATTTCAAGTTCGTTCTTATCAACAACGACATTCATTTGATAATACACAAATTCGAATTGAAAATGAAGATCAAAATGATACAATAAGTACAACAAATATTACTGATAATGATGAACACTTATTATTAAATTCTAATAAAAATCAAACTATACATGAAGGTCAAATAGAATATATGCCTAATGGTAGACGTTTTATTTTAAAAAATAGTAAATGGTTACCATTGTGTAAATATGATAATTTATGTCGTAATATTGCTAAATATGAATTATTATGTATCAAACATTTTGAATTAACACAACAAAAACGACGAGATGCATTAAAATTCCATAATAATGATAACAGACGTCCACGTTCATCTATTTTTGATAATCATCATTCAATTTTTTCAAACGATAATACAAAACGTGTGAAAACAAACAGCGGTAAGTCGATTTTTGATATTTTTTGAAAACAAAACAACGACGTAAATCTTTTTTTAGATTTTCAAATATCTTCTTCACCGATTACCGAACAGTTTAATATTAATAGTCATGAAAACAACTATACAGTAGTTTCTTTTCGATTAGAAGATATTAATTATAATCGTTTTGGTTTTTCTTTTAGACTACTAAACCAACTGATAGTAATTTTTCTTCATTAACATCTAAACTTGCTGGTCATGAAGTAGGAATATCTTCCAAAAGAAATATAAATATTTTAACATCTGATTTTTCAACGGTAAATTGTTTTTATTCATTTTAAGTTTTAATATTTCTTTGTTTTTGTTTAGGTTGATAAACAAAAATCTGAGCCTAAGAGTGATCAATCCGTCCAAACTGATCTAACTATTCCATTATGTTGCATAGTTCATCAAGAAAATCATTCCTTTTATTCATCATGTCAAAATAATGTAAAAAATTAACTGCATTTCTAGTTTAATTATTTTTTAAAATATTCAAATAGAAATCAACATCTTCCATTTTATTTTATGATACTAAATCGGAACCAAAATCTTTTGATAAAAATTTTTCTACATAAAAAAATCCATTTGAAAATTAATCCAAGTCATAGTTTGAACAATCTCGAGTAGATTATAATAATTATTTTTCGTTTTACTGATAATAATAATTGTTGGCTTCTATATTGATTGTATTTTTTGTTTTCATGTAGATCATTTTTTTTATATGTATATTTTAGTATTATTTGAAATTTCGTTTTTTTTCTTTCTTGATTTACAAAACGAAAAATAAAATAGCAGTGATTTTTTTTCCAAATTTGAATAATATTATAATGTAATACGAGTGAAATATTTTTTTCAAACTTTGTTTTTTTTTTGTCGAAGATTGTAATATTGTTTTTTTAGTGTAATGGAAAATTGAAGATAAATATATATGTACGAATTGCTTAATATTGGTAATTAATGTTATTTTTAATGTAATTATGTTTTGTGAAACATGATTCGAAAGGAATGTTGAAGTAAGGATGTGCCATTTAGTATAATTACTGAACAGTGAGTCACTGATACAGAATCCGCCGATTACCCTAACATCTGCGTTCGCTGAAACATTGAGACAACAGCTTTATCAATATATGCACTTTTTCTAGCAGATGTTTGAATGCTTCAGTGCATAGTGTGTACTACCTGCACTGCATCAGTTGTCAGTAAACTGAAACTGCACATCCCTATATTAAAGTAAAATGGTATAGTGTTTTGGAGTTACTCCTCACATAGAGACTGTGACAGACACTACTATAGGAACGTTACAGGCATCTTAATGACGTATTCACTCCTTTTACGGAAGGTGATAGACATCTTAATAACGCGTCATTCCGTTGTTCCTGTCACCGACCGAGATAAACATAGTCTTAAACAGACCTACAAAATCTAATGGTGTGCACCTAGGTACAAAGGAAAAATTTTAGTAGAATTATTGTCTACATGAAAACTTTTTAATGTAGAAATTTAACGAATAAAATTTGTCTTGCATAGCTATCAGAATATGAAGTTCATACGCCAATTGCATGATTGAATTATCAACAGAAAATAATCTAACTGATTTTTGTTTATTTTCTTTCACCATTCAATACGTACCTCCTTCAATATGCATATGTCCTATATATTACATTTTGTTTTGCTCTTTTATATCCTTCAAACGTGGGCAGTATTAGAGCATTTCGTCAGCTTACGCCGCTGTTTATGTTAACGTATAAGAAAAGTAAACATTATCTAACATAAAAATTTTTAATCCTTAGTTCAGTTGTAAGACATCATTTCTAAAATGACCAGTTGCCAAGACAGCTGGTATCAATCATTGAATAATAACACTAATTTATCTATTACCTAACGTTATTTTCAGTGCGTAAAAGTCTTATTCCTCTCTTGGTTAGTTTTTAATAAATATCTATATTTTTTCAGGGTAGAGAAAGCTTTTGATAAATTTCTTCTTGCGGAAAGAAATTTTTTATTTTAACAGCAGATTCTACTCAGCTAGTTTCAAAACTCAATGTCTATTCAGTTATTTTTGCTAATTACTGGAAATCATAGATCTAAGCTTTTTTTTTTGAGTAGAATAGAAGCCATAACGTGTTTCATATTTTAATCCTACAAAGATTCTGCTAATAGATTTAAATCTTAAATATAAGAATTTCTTAGAATATCGATTTTTATTAGCAAGAAAATGATTATAGAATTAAAGTTAAAGATGATTATGAGACATTTAAGTTACATTTATGAAAAATATTTACGATGGGATTGAAATTTATATTCATCAAAAACTTGTTTATGACGATTTTGGTGTTGATGCTAATCATATCAAATTCTTGTTTTCTTAATTTTCGACTTTTGTAATATTGTTTCTAAATATTCATATTATTAATAAGAATTTTTCAGTAGCAAATAGCTTTTCTATTTGAAAAAATCCATTTCAACATTGAATTATGTATATATTCATCATCATACAAATAATCCTTTCAGAGATATTTGATATAAATCGATCGTATCAATAACATTATATAAATCATTGACATCTGATTGATTATATTTTTTTATTAAATTTCGTTTCATTTGTTGACTTTCCTCTAATATACATGATATCCATTCATATTTGAATACAATTTTACCAAGATAATCACATCCTTCGGGTAATATTTTGTTCTTAGGTACTATTCGATGTCTTCGATATTTTTTCATTGAATCTACTGCTTGTAATCCTTCATAAGGATGATCAATGATTTCATCGAATATTTCTATTTCGTCCGGATAATATTTAGTATACCAGATTTCATTAATCTCACGAATTATTTCTAATCCATGTAATTTTCCTTCTTGCCAATATCGTTCTAAATAATAAACGCTACAACCAGGCCCTCCAACACGGTGAAAAGTTTGTACACATTCTTCTAAACCATGACGTTCCAAATGTTCACCATGACCAACGACAGTTACACGAATATCAAAATCCCATATGATTGATCGATAGTTAAGTAATGTTATCTTGCGTGAAAAGCGTGTTTTCATCAGTGATTTTAATCGACGGGCTTCAAATAACCATCGACAACTAACTAACGATTGTGATAAATAATCTTTAGATGTTTGACAATGTAATAAAATCAAACGAACAACGTCATTTGGTAGTACAATATTATTAGACGACATCTACAAATATAAATTTTCTAAAAAAAAAAGAAGAATTTTTGATTAAAATCATGGAAATTAGGAAAATCCGAAAAAAACTATGTTGATCTTTTAGAATTTTATATTTATTTGTTGATATTTTCGAAGTTAAATAGATATACATATGTTGTTACAAATTGAAATATATTTGACGATTATATTTTAACTCTATTGATCAGTTAAACTTAAATAATTTTTTTTTAAAATCAAAAACTTACTACTTCTAACCAACATGTTCAATGATCATTTAAAATTTGTGCTAAAACTAATTACAATATTAGCTCATCAGACAATTTGCTTTCTGTATGTGTGAAAGCTTCTTCTTCTCAAAGTAATATTTGCAATACGTGTAGTATTCACCTGTTTCCTTTTTTTGCATTCTTTCAAATGTAAAAGGGCAATGAAACTCAGTGAAGAAAAGAAAAAAATGAAAAGAACTATAAAAAATAAAAATATATACATAGAAAATAAAGCACAATCAGTCACAGGAATTCCAAGCATTTATTTTTGTGAATTCTAATACATATAAAGATTTTAAATAAAATTAGTACCATAGACATCAAAAGAATAACATCTCACTATATTATTAATCCTGTATAAGGAAATTAAAAGTATTATTAGAGTAATTATTACATATAACAGTTAAGTGTGATGTAGTCATAAAAAGTTTAAATACATAAAATATTTTATAGAGATTGTGTTGTTTCAAATGCTGTTAGAACTTTTCATAGATAAGCAATCTTTCATCGTTTTTAGGCATAAAACAATATTTTTTTGCTATACCTGTCTCCCACTAAACTGGTGTTTTTTATTTTCAAATGCTGTAATTTTCAGAAATATGGTGCATGCAAGAGAAAAAACATCGGGTACTTTAATGTAGAGCTTGGCAAATGTAAGCACGAAATTTGTTCGGAACCAACCATTACACTCATCAAAATAGACTTTGACCATGTCCTTGCTCAAAGTTGTTCGTCTAATGGCAGTCATAATTCGTTTCAGTAACGATTGTGTGGTCTGAAATCTAACTGAAATGCATCTCCATCCATTTTGTGCTGATAAGTACAAAAAACGTGTAACTAAGTAGATCATAATATTCGTGCCTTGTACTATCAGATACTGTCATGTGTTTTGATTCATCTAATCTCATTATTCTATGTATTGGATCATTCAAGTCAATTAATCCATTGCATTACATTGATGATCGTAGTTAAGTTTATCATCTCAATCAACAGAATAGGCGTTCAATAAAAATCAAACCATTTTAAATCCTGTTTTCTGGACTTATTCAAAGATGGTCGAGCTTTTTGCAGAAACCTAAAAAGGCTAAGTAGTTTGTCTCATAATAACAATTACTGCATTAAAGAATATGACGCGTTAAGAGTGAATATGTGTTGATGTATAATGTGTATGTGTAGCTTCGTACCTTCACATTCGTCAGCGTCTTCCGAACGTTTTTCACGTATATTTGTGTCGTTCTCACAAAAATATTCCCCATCATCTTTCTTGGGAACTCGTCCACAGTGACATGCATGTCAGTAGAGTACTGAAAAGAAAAATCAAGATCAAATTATCAACGGACTTCGTTTCATAAAATTAGCTGCTGTTCGACTTGCATAATCCATAAGCCACAGACTTTTGAGCAGAGAATTCATTGATTAGCATTAAACAATCTCTTATATACAGAAAGCGAGGCACACCTGAGTGCTTTTTCACAAAAAATTACGTTAAGATTTTTGCAACTTTCACAGACATGTTTAACGCTTATTTATGTAATCAGTTGCCTGTTGTGCTGCATTACTCTGACAAAACTTCATGCCATACATTTGGATTTCTCTTCTGGTCTATTGGTGCTCGAAAGGTATCATTGCCGTTGCTCAGTAACACACTGATCGTATCATTTCTACAGTTGGATGTCACCAAATCCATATGTCGATCTCTGTTCAGATCGCCAACAATTAGTCCTCATGGATTGATCATAGTGACGTAGGAGGTAAACGTACGAAAAGTATCATTACCAAAGCATAAATGTACAGTAACACTATTACTGTTCCAGTTAGTGACAACCAAGTCTAAGCAATTATTGTGATTGAAATCAGCTACAATGGCGATTTTTGGACCAGATAGTGTGGAAAAACTAATTTGTGGTGCAAAAGTGCCATTACTATAGCCGAGAAGAAGGCTGACAGTACGGGTGATATTATTGACAACCAACAAGTCAACCTGTTGATCATTATTAAAAACTCCGATAACAACCGAAGTTGAAGCACTACCAACTGCAAAAGAATTTTGTGACAGGAAAATACGAATACGTAGACCTAGTGAAATACCCACACTATTATTGCCAGAATGACTGACAGCTATATCTACGTGACTGTCTCCATCGAAGTTGCTGGCAGTGACTGTCAATGAAGTTGTGTGAGTTATGAGAATTGTTAGTGATCCAAAAACTTCACTGCCATTAACAAGAAAAATGTAAACATTGTTCTCGTAGTAACCGGCAACAATAAGATCCATGCGTTTGTCACCATTGAAATCACTCAGGACAATCGAAAGGGTTCCATTCCTTATTGTATATGAGTACTGTCGGTTGACTGTTAGATTACTACAGATGTGACCTACACATCAACGAGAATGATTTGCATTGCATTGAATATACATTATAGAGACAATTGCAAGAGGGGAAAAGCGTATTTCTAGGTATTTCCAGGTATTTCTAAATATTCTACGTATTTCTAGGTATTTTCGAAATACAGAAACACTTAGAAATACACTTTTCCCCCCTTGATATAACCTCTCTTTTCTCTTCAACTATGTCAGTTTGTGTGTTAGAAAATGAGAGGAAGTATCATTCTTGCTGCATGCAATGGTAATGCTATCATAAGTGTAGCGAAGTGATCTCTAACTGTTAGATGTTTCTTAACATTAAGGACATTACGCTGAGGAATATTTCTAATTGTAAAAAAAAACAATCACACGGTGGTTCTACCATTATCAGCAGTCAGCAGACTAGTGAGGAATAAGGTAACAGAACGAAGTCTAAAAGGGCATATTATTCATTTAATGCATTTTATATACGCACATTGAAGAACATCATCTTCTGAAGAAAAGCATTTTTTTCTTCTTCATATTTACGCTTTTTCAAGATGATGGAATAAAGATTTCTCATGGAAGAAAACTTATACAAAAACTACCCAAAAAGTCGATTTTTCTTCGATTAAAATTATACATCTTTAATCGATTAGGCATCTATTACAAATCGTTTATAATCAAACCATAATCAAAAAAATCGAAATTTCATCGAGTATTCTCATTTTTTTTTATTGAAACCGATTTAAAATTCTGCAAAAAAGTCCTTTTGAAAAGACTATGGAAACTTTCAATTCCAATAGTATTGATAAATTCGGGATATAATTTCCAAAAACCCACAAAGCAAAAATATTCATTAGTGGTGTCAGTCAGATAAATAGCCAATATGACTTGTCCTAATGTTTCTAAGCTTGATCAAGTGAAATTTTCATCTTATAATTACTAATGAAGTTCAAAGAAAGAGTTTGTACTATACTGACATAAACCTTTTTTTTCGAAAAATGTTCGCAACAAAACAGAAAACCATTTTAGAGACATAATATCAAACTTTCTATTTAGCATTGTCTTGACAAAAAGGTACATGTTTAAATTAAGAATGTTAACAACAAAGAAACACGACATTTTTGGATTTACCTTCGTACGATGTTTAAATATAGTAAAAAGACAGTAGTCATCTAAAGTCTGATAGATATATCAGTGGGTTGGATAAAGTATTACAATGAGAAAGACTCAATCTTATTCACGACACATACAAATAAAAAATGTTTCATTCAATATTAATCTATCAATAAATTGTATAAAGGTCACATGAACGGATCATTCAGATCTTATATAAATTACTAATTCAAACGAAAGCATTCTGAATAAGTCTTATGAAATTGGTTTGAATTTGATCAATTAACGTTAATAAATAAATTTAGAAACTTTCGAATCTCAGGTGTCTCATAATTATAGAACCCTTTCGCCATAAAAATAAGAAAATATTGAATTAATTCAAATTTTGTCAACTGAAAGGATTGTTTTTCAACATCCATTCGAAAGAGAAGATATTCAGCTATCTGCTGACAAAAAAAACTAAATTTGTAACACATAATTTAACTTTCGTACCGTTTAAAAAATTAAATAGTAGACAAGTTAAATCTCAAAATTATTACTAAGTAGTTCGATAAAAATAAGTTTTCACTTCTTGAATGTAACGAAATTGAATTTAAACGATACCATTGGATAGAGCATCAAAAGCTACATAGACTAAATGCATTGGTCAAAAGACTTTGAGACTCTAAGGAATTGTGAAAAGTATCCTAGAAATATTCGGAAAATCTATTTTTAAACCATGTCAAAAACATCTGTTTTCATAAGAAAAGCCTCTAACTCCACATGAAAAACGCACATAAACTATTTTCCAAGGACATCAATAGAAAGAGCGTCTAGTTCTGCACAAGATAGACTATTTTTTCGTTGTTATTAATTAATTCCAAAAAATTTCAAAACATGCCTGTTTTTATCTTTTCAATTTTTGTCATTTTTCAAGCGAAATGAGGCGTCATTTTGCCCACTTTATGAGATAATGTTTTCAATTTTTTAGAATTAATTTCTGATAACAAAAAAATAGTCTATCTTGTGCAGAAGTAGACGCTCTTTCTATTGATGTCCTTGGAAAATGGTTTATGTGCGTTTTTCATGTGGAGTTAGAGGCTTTTCTCATGACAACAGATGTTTTTGACATGGTTTAAAAATAGATTTCCGAATATTTCTAGGATACTTTTACACAATTCCTTAGAGTCTCAAAGTCCTTTTGCCGATACTTATATAGTCTATGTAGCTTTTGATGCTCTATCCAATGGTATCGTTTAAATTCAATTTCGTTACATTCAAGGGGTGAAGACTTATTTTTATCGAACTACTTAGTAATAATTTTGAGATTTAACTTTTCTGCTATTTAAATTCTTAAATAGTAGGAAAGTTAAATTATGTTTTACAAATCTGAATTTTTTCAGCAGATAACTGAATATCTTCTCTTTCGAATGGATGTTGAAAAACAATCCTTTCAGTTGACAAAATTCAAATTAATTCAATATTTTCTAATTGTTACGGCGAAAGGGTGCTATAATTATGGGACACCTGAGATTCGAAAGTTTTTGAATTTATTTATTAACGCTAATTAATCAAATTCAAACCAATTTCATGGATGACAGACTACTATAATGTGTCCATAGATATGATCTTAGATCGAAAATGAAATGTTCTTTGGTTGAAGAAATTTTTGTTATTTTCAAAATTTAATCGGAATGTTATAATTTTCGAACATCCTTGTATTATAAATAATTTATACGAAATGAAAGATATTCGATGTACTAGATTTTATATAATTCTCACAAGAATAAAAAGAAGACAATATGCTTGATGATGAGTTAATTTTTCATATAGATTCTTATTAAGAAAATTCTATTAAATGACATGATATAGTTTATTCGATTTTTTTAAATTTTGACGATCATAAAGAAATGATATTGTTGATTTTTTTGATTGAATCATCATAAGTTCTACAGTACTTCTTATTTGCAGCATATTGATAAAAAAAAAAAAATTTTTACGTTAATTGATGTATGTATATGTCATTTTCTAATATCTTGTTACCGATGACCTGACCCGAATCATATCATGTTAAAATCGAAACATTTTTACAATCACCTTGTTTTTTTTTTCAAACAAGGATATATACCACAGCATGTGTCTGCAATGCATTGATAGTGAACGCCCTCTTTTCTATCTTGGAGGCTATGGGTAATCTTAATACAATGGCTATTTTGTGAATATATAGGGAAGTGCATAAAGCTTATCTTAACTGGTACGCGTTGACATGGAGAAAATATGCATAAGATAGATAGAAATAACTGCATTATCAACAAAGTTTTGAAGGTTGTTATATATTACTGATATGTGAAAAATCCATTAAATATATATTTATCAATCAATTATTTAAGATTGTTATGGATCAAGACTTTGATGATGAAGATCTTCATTTATTATCTGAAAGCTCCTTACCATTAATGTCAACATCATATACAAATAATACATTTGTTCGTAATAACAATCGTAGGCGTTCGATAAAATCACAAAAAAATATTTCATCTGATAATCAAATTCTTCATGAAGAAGATACATCTTTATTAACGCGAGCAAATATAGGTGATATAATACGATTAAAAGATGGTACAAGAAAAAAATATAATGGTTCAACATGGCGTCGTATGTGTTCACAAGTAAATTGTTCCTATTATAGTCAAAGTGAAGGTTTATGTAAACTTCATTTAAATGAATTAAAAACACAAAACTCATCACGAAATAATAATTCAACAATTCATAATGATGATAATATATTACCGATCGATGAAGTATTATCTAAACAAAATGAACCTAAAAAAGGTGATATTATAATATTATTAAATGGTATACGAAAAATCTATGATGGACGACATTATCGACGTATTTGTGCTAAATTAACTTGTACAAAAACTGTTCACGGTAATCCCGAATATCAAAATGGGTTTGTTGAAAACAAAGAAAAACTGAATTATTCAAAATTTTATTTCTTTTTTTATTATTAATTTTAGTTTATGTTCAGATCATTATCAAGAACTTCATGTTAAAAATTTATCAGAATTAAAATCTTCTTCTCAAGATACTTTATCTACTCCATCAAATTCTAAAGTTTCATCTTCATCACGTAAACGTCGACGCCTAAATTCTCCATCGTCTAGTATTCCATCACAAGTACCCATGACCTCTAATATTCAAATATCTATATCAAAACCAAATCATCGTCTTTCAATAGCTGCTATTCCACCATCTGTTGATATTAATAATCCAAAAAAAGGTGATATTATTGTAATGGAAAATGGTTCACGAAAAAAATTTGATGGTGTTGTTTGGCGTAAAATTTGTTCAATGTCTGGTTGTCTAATAGCTGCACAACGTGATGAATTATGTCGAAAACATTTTCTCAAACTTAATGGAAAACCAAATAATGGATCGACTAATGATTTTATCGAATCAGTGACAATGGTTACCCCTCTATCGAAAAGTATATCATCCATGTCAACATCATCAACAGATGAAAAATCAGGTAGACATTTCTCTAATATCCTGAGAAGATTCATACTCTATTCGATCCCTTGACAAACAGAAGGATTTTAATAGCTTAATGTTCAATTTTGATGGTGTCATTTTTCATAACGTACCAAATGAATTTTTCTTTATCTTAAAAAAGTTTTATTCATCTCTATTGAAATGGCTTTCTAACGAAAACTTATCTAATCCTAGCAGCAGTTTAAATCAATCGAAAAGACTAATTATCACATACATAAAAGTTTGTTTGCTGCATATTCAATATTGTCTCTTTTCTGTTGTTCGATAATTCTTAAAAAACATCACATATTCTCAAAGAATATGAATTTAAAGAAATATGTTGTTAATTATCTCTGAACTTACCTCGATTGTTACGTTGTTTTTATCAGAAAACTAGCTGAAGTGTCTACTTTCGTATGGACTCATTCGACAGAGTATATTGAGATAAGAAAAAATCTAAAAGGATTCGAGTCCATGCTCAACAGTATTTGACCATTTTACTGAGAATCAGGCATTCCAAAAGAATCAAGATAAAGAGTTTTGATCTGGAATTTTCAACGAAAACAAATAATGTCTTTCTCAAGGTATTAAATTTCAAAAGTAGACCAACCGTTTATCATAGGACAACACAATAATCCACTCGGAAAATAATTATCTCAGATCAAGTCTTCATTTTGTTTTCAGAAAGTCTAGCTCAGTAAAACTGCCGTAATTCTGCAGCCTACGCTCGAATTCTTTTAGACGTTTTTTTTTAAACCTTAATATACTCTATCGAATTAGGTATGAATAAATTAAGATGGAATCTTTTCTAAGTTCAGTATACGTTGCGAAAACTAAAATGATCCTTCACGCGGATTCATTTTCGGAACCTTTTAGAGGTCCATAGGACTAAAGAAGGAACCGCTTTCAAAAATACAAAACCTTTTTTTTTTTAGTGCAGAAACAATCTTTTGTCCTAACTCGAATTCCGTATATTTCTAAATAAGAATCAATTCTATATAATTTTCATAGAATCTCGAACTTCCAAAAAATTCAAAAATGGATTCATGGATTATGATGAAGAACGAAATAATGATAATATATCAACTAGTTATCATGTATCAGGTTAATATTTCTTTAATTTATTTCTTCTTTTGTTTTTGTTTATGATAAATATCTTTCAGATGATGATAATAATACTCAAATTTATCAAGAAAATTCTTCAATCATTCAAGAAGATAATTTCGATACACAAATTGATCATACACTTATTGATGCACTTTCTGCTAGTCGACAAAAATTTATAACAAGTAGAAATTTTTGTCTTTTTCTAAATAAAATCTTCTTTGTATTTTAACTATAGATTATTTAAAAAACTGGTTACGAGAACATCGTAGTCATCCTTATCCAAGTAATCAAGAAAAAATTGAATTAGCTAAACAATCATCCATAACATATGATCAAGTAACAACATGGTTTAATAATGCCCGAGCGATTCTTCGACGACGTCAAGCCAAATTACAACATTCTTTTGATACTGTCAATGATAATGATGATGATGACGATGATGATGAATTATCACATGAAAATAAAAATTTTGTAAATTCAAATCATAAAATATCTTCTCAAAGTAAAAGGAAAGAAAAATATTATCTTAAATAAAGAAATAAAATTCAATTTTAGTTCAACGATCATTATCATTATTTAATGGTTTATGTTATCGTTCAATTGGTGTACAATGTAATCCGTCAACAGTAAATCAAACAACATCAACATCAACAAATTTATCTAGTATGACTGATGATGAATTAACATCAGATCGTACAATAAAAATTATAAGACCATCAAATCATGTATTGAAAACACTTAATAGTATAAAACATAATACTAGTCAAGAATTTCTATTGAATGATATTAAGACTGAAGATGATGAAGAATTTGGAAAAGATCAAGAAATTATTATAACAAGTACTTGTCTTGATGATGATCAAATGGTAATAGTTTATTCTTTTAAAATAGTATTTGTACTTTTCTAAATTATTTGCACAGAAAATGACTACTGACAGATTTCTGATATCAGACTACTAGATTACTATTCATTGAATTTTCAAATATCTTTCATGTTCGAGGCTCACTTAGACATGTATTCTGTTTCTATGAATTGTAAGGTTCGTGAGTTGTAAATTTCTGTTAATTTGAGATTGTGATGATCTTCTCAGTTGTTTCCGGATATTGTTGAGAAAGTTTTAACGGTAACGAGACAGAGTCAGCTATGAGTAAGATTAGGACTTTTGTCCACTTAACTCTGTTTAAGAAGGCTTCTATTTTATGAAGTATAACAACGAGTTACTGAAAAATAATTTGATAAAATGTTTGTTCAATTTTCAGCCTCTTAAAGGAGACTGTCAAAGCGACAATTATTTCATATACGGTGAATGAAAGAGCTAACATTTCTCCACAAAATGATATACTTATGATTAGTTTACTCTAAGTCAAAGTATGCGATGACAATTTTCTCGATCTCTACAGAAAACTTACAGAAAAAGCTCGATCATTTCTGACACCCTTGATTCTCGTATCAGTTTGAAGAGACCAATTTAGCCTTTAATCCTATGCAAACAACATCGATAATATGATCTATGTGGTAAAAGAGATCTACTGCAAAACAAGGTCAATTTTCATGATCTCAGCTTAATTTTCGTACCTCTAAGAGGTCGAATTATATTTCCTAAACTCGAAGTTCTAGAGAATTACGGAACGCATATTCAGAAAGAAAACAAAATCCTGACACCGATCCAACGTTTTCAAATTCCTTTTCGATAATTCGTTATCATAACTTCCAAGTATGATTGGAATTTCGCTAATAAGACGTACACCAATAGGACATTCACCAATTGACAACCATATAACAATAATTAATATTTGTTTTCTTTTAGACTCGTTTAAAAGAATTTTCTTCTCAATTTAATATAAAATTATCTAATACTGTTGATGAATATACAACACATTTAATAACTGATGAAGAGGATGAAACACTTGTTTGTCCATTATCAAAAAAAGTTATTCAAGCTGTTGCACGTCATATGTATATAATAACATATCGTTGGATTGATAGTTGTCTAGCAATGAATAAAATAATTACTGAACAACCATTTGAAATTCAAGGAGATTTAACACTTTCATCGGATCATCATGGTTTGTTTTTTTTTTTTTTCTAGTCTTCATTTTGTTTTATTTATTTTTTTTATCCAAAGGTATGCAACGAAGTCGTCAAAGTATTTTACCAAATAATTTACCAAAAACTTCATTATTTGAAAAATTCTCTATTATGTTGAAATGTGATGGTTGTCAAGAAATGGTCAATAATGATGAATTAATTGAATTAGTTAAATTATCTGGAGCTAAACATACAACTGATTCATATTTTTCACGTTTACAAACAGATTTAATACGTATTGTTCTTTGTGAAAAAGAATATTTAATTAATCGCAAAGAAATTTATGATAAATGTGTTCACATTGGCGTTCATTTTCTTACACCTGAATGGTAAAAATAATTAAAGAAAAAAGCCTAAGGAATCATTCTTTACGTCTATTTTTTCTTTTTTATTTAAAATAGGTTTCTCGAATCACTTGTTCAATATCGTATTCAACCATTTCAAGATTATCAAATATCACCATAAAAACTACCATAGATTTAGTCTTTTACCCTTTGTCAGATTGAAAATTATTCACATATAAAAGAATTGTTCTTGTAATTTCGTTTTTTTTTTCTGTTTTTTTGTTAATGAAAAGAAAAAGAATAACAAATCAACAAATTATTGTAGTTAGCATTTGTTAAAGTTTGTTTATGTGTATATATATACATGAAAAGATTTGTATGCTTATATCTTCAGATGTTAGATAAAATGACAACATGCCAAAATAATCAATGTGATCGACAACGAATTAAAAGACATACGAAACGACAGAAGAAAAAGCCAGGTATATAAAATTTACTTTTAGTAGTATTTTATTGAGTATAAGATTAAAAAAGTGAGAAGTTTCTAAATTTTGTTTTGAATATATTTCAATTAGAAATAACAATTGAGACAGATTGGATGGGTTTCGTTCAAAAAAAAAGCACCACTCAATCCTATATCTCGGTTACGAGAAAAATTCAATACAAAAACGTTCATTATATTTTTTAGTTACAAAGAATTTGTATAGTTTACCAATTTTCTCAAATCTGACAGGCATAGGATTGTCAGATCTTTTGAAAAGTGCCAAGAAAAATTCCGAATTGTTATATTTGACTAAATTCAAGCTTTTGTGAGTTTGATCATACCTTCGAAATTAACTGTAGCCAACAATTAATGCATCTTCACTATGCAACTATCATCATTATATAGTACATAGCTTTGATACTACTAACAATACAAGCTCTCTTGAATAAAAAGTGTTTCCATACTAAACTAAACAGATTGTATTAGTCAAGACATCCATTTGAATAAACAGTCTGATCAATATAAACTGAGTTTTAAGCTTAAGAAGAAATAAAACTATATCACTAATAATTTTCATATAAAATATTGATAGAGCAAAATATATTTCAATAAAAAAAGAGACAACGTATGTATTTAAAAATCAGCTAATTACTTTTCGAATTTTCATGGCTGAAATTCTGATTAATAACTTTTCTATTTGATAACCTTCAGTAGACATATAGAATGATGTCATAATATTTATTGAAGTTTTGACTTGAATGTGGTTTTTTTTAAAACATAGTCTTAAAATAATCTCAAAAATCCAATGAAACTGATTATGTAAAAAGATAACTGGAAATCAATATTCGATTAGTAGTTCTATACTCTAAAAAAAGACCATTTTCAAGCCATAGTTTTTTTTAGGATTTTGTATCGACTTTCGATCGTATGCAGAAAAAAAATGTATACATCATCTTGTGGCATTTGAAAATCTCTATCGCTTGAACGTATAGTTTGTTTTAAGCATATTATAAATCTTTCTGTTGAAAAAATTTTATTGGTCCTTTCTTATGTTCTTTTTAAGGATTTGTCCTACGTGTTCATTAAAATTTTGATTAAATTAAGCTAAGTATAAAAATAATACGGATTCAGATTTATTACTACATCGAAAGAAAAATATTCTTCTAGGATTTAGAATTGAACTACTTGTATAAAAGCTTTCTACTCTAATAAATAACACAACTAAGGTGAATTATCTAGGACTTCAATTTGTTTTTGAATAAGATTAGCTATTATAACCTTATAAACTTCTTTAAAAATTTTTCATGAGCTCTATTTGAAACAGTAGACATGAAATAAACCGATACTGGCTTTAGAATGACCTGAAACGTATTTATTCATAGGAAAAAAAGAAATAATTAATTTTTTAAAGAAAAATTGCTATTTGAAAGTGGATCTTTTTGAAGTCAAGAACCGTTCATCAGATGGAAGAGTTTTTTTATAAGTTCTAAACCTCGACGAAAATTAATTTATATGCAGACAGGAAATGACCTCAAATTCAATGTGCCTACGTAAGGTTTCGTTACCCGTGTCAACGTTTCAAGTAGCGTAATATTGAATGACATCTCGTGTAACATTAATACTAATTAAAAGAAGAATATAATATTAAATTTCTTTCGACATTGATGAACAAGGTGGTCCTTTAATAATAGTGACAAATGCATTCTAGATGAAAAGTTCAGTAGGAACTAATCAATAGTTGTCATGACCGTTTATTTGAGACTTATCATAAGTTACTAATCAAATAATCAGTCAGACTATATTTTGAACAAAGATTTCCAAATGAACTAAAGTATATGAGCACATACACCATATGTCCAACGAAAGTCAAAACATTTTGCAATAGGAAAAAGTTTTATTTTCTCAAATAGTGTTCAAGTCTTCTTTTCATTTTAAACTGCTTATTTAAGCTGTATCTTATGAATAAACATCTGTTGACAATATTGTGGAAGAATATACGAGGAAAGTAAGTTTTGAATTTTATACGCTTAAAAATTGCTTTCAAGATAAGTCACTTACAATAATTGTGAAAGAATGATTGATAAAATTTGGCAAAGTAATAATAAATAGTAGACAGCACATACGTGCTAATTAATTGACATTTTTTTCTGTAATGAATTTATTATTTCAGTCAATCATATATTGTATTTTTCTTAATAATAATTCTTGTTGATAGATTTCGAACAATTGAACATTATATTCTTCTTTCTATATTACTATTCTTATAATAGAAGATGTCATATAATATTATGTTATTTGAAACATCGACCCAAGTACTCAAACCTTATATATGGATACGGTTACTTAGAGATCACGCCCTTCCTGGTTATTAATAAATTTTCATCAAGATTCAAAACTTATGAAATACACTGTATGAGGTTAAAGTTACTATTTTTTATATCTATTAAAGCTCGTTGTGTACAAAATTTTCGTACCCCATCGAACCGTACTTTGATACTCTTAATGAAATTTTCTAATCGAAATAGGATAGTCGTCTCAAAGATATGAGATACTTTTTTCCTCGTTTTTTTGTATTCAGTAACAGCTCATCCTACATGATTTCTCAGACAACTAGAACTCGTCGGATCCAAAATACTCAGATGTGAATCTAATGGAATCTGATAATCATTTTCATTAGATTATATCATGGACTATCTTTTGTTTTTGAAAAAACGTTCAAGTCAGAGCTTCACTAATTGAGTAAGATAATCAAAAAATATTGAGAGGATTATTCTTCATGTGCCATCGACTAGAAGCAATTATTTTTTATTCTTACTGGAGGCATTATATTCTCTTATGATTCTATATAGTTTTTAGTCCACCTTTTTTTTTGTTAAACTGAATTACCCTTCAGTGTTGATTATCATTGAATGAATTATTTTTTGTTTTTAATTTAGATTTCTCTCAAAGTGAATCATGTGATGATTCAATAGAATTAACAAAAGAACAAGTAAAAGCTGCATTAACATCTCTTTTTTTAATACATAACCAAAATCGAACTGCTGAATCTCGTAAACGACGTCGAAATAAATCTATTGATCGATCATTAGAAAATCAAAATAAAAAACAAAAACAAATTTATAATAATATTATATTATCAAACGTAACACAATCAGAAACAATTGTTCTTGCAACAAGTGGTCTTAATAATCAACAAATGGTTTGTTTTATTTGTTTACTTTTATAATTTCTTTAAATATTTTCATATTATTTAGAAACAAGTAAAAAAATTTGTTTTACTTTTTAATTGTCGTTTATTATTATTGGATAATAATAAAACGACTTTTAATCATACAATAACACATTTAATTACGGATGAAATTGAACATAATGATTCGCTTGTATGTACATTAACAAAAAATGTTGTTTTTGCTATTGCTCAGCATTGTTTTATACTTTCTTATCGTTGGATTATGGAATGTTTACAACAAAATTCAATTGTTAATGAAGAACAATATGAAATTGAAGGTGATAATATATTTTCAACAAAACATAATGGTCCACGTCGATCACGTTTATCAAAACGACCATTATTACCATTAAATCATTTTAGTAAGAAAATGATTATTCTTGTTGTTGTTTTTTTCTTAACTTAAGTGGGAATCTTTTCAGGTGTCAAATCATTTCTTAATCAACATGATGTTTATTTGATGAGTATTAATGAGTAATGGGAGAGCCTAAAATGGTTTGATGCTCCGAGCCTACGCTCGTGAGATAACAAAATTTTACTGGGTTGTCTAATACACAGCTGTGATCTCCCTTTGGTCACGTGACAGTTTCGACTTTAAACTTTGCATGAACAAAATTCTAACTGAGATCAGTTCATCGGAAAAGTTGTAAGTTTTCTAGTATCTTCTATTCTGAGATTAAAACCCATCAGATTCAAGAATTTGTGAACTCGAAACCGGATCCGGATCCAATGAGCTGTACTTGAAATATTTAATATTCGAAACTCTCTTACATGTAAAAGCAAATTTTGTTCATATATGAACGTCTCCAGAAGGAAAATACTAAAAAAGGTAAAACTTATCTAATGAACTAATTTCATTGAGTAACTTTGTTCATGTAAAGTTTGCAGTCAAAACTGACACGTGACCTGAGTTGGATGAAAAATCCAGTAAAATTTTGATATCTCAAGAACGGAGGTAGGGAAAATCAAATCAATCTATTGTTCTCTAGCACTTATCAAACGAACATCGCCTCGATGATAAAAAGTGACTTGACATTTGGAGAGATTTCCTCGTTGAATGTTTTGTTTAAGTAACATTGTTTTTTTCTTTAAGTTATGGTTAAAGGTGGTAGTCGACATTTTTTAGATTTTGCAAATTCAGAATTAGGTGATTTAGCATGGCTAGCTGGTGGTATTTATATAGAACAAAATCGATTTCCAAATACAATTTTTCCAAGACAATGTTTTTTATTAATTGAAGATGAAGATATACGAAATAAGGTAAGAAGAATATTTTAGCACTTCTTAAAATCATAGTTCTCATTTTTTCATTAAAAAAACAGATTAAAAATTAAAGTACGTCATTTTGAATCATGATTTTCCTTTGAATAAACCTCAAGAGAATGAGTTCCGGTAGAGTCTCATTAGACAAACACTTTTCTATACGATTCTAAGTAGAGAACTATGACAAATTATCAAAAATAAATAT